GTTGTTCCAGACAATCGAGATCATCGAGAACATGAATAATTCTCTCCAGTAAGCTGTTATATTCCTTTCGTTTTCTCTCGAAAGATATGACATTCCTAAAAAGTGACCATTCTTCAAGGCCTTTTAACAGGTCTTTCAAAACTTCCAATTTGTCAAGACTTAGAAATCCATTCCGCTCCAACTCTTGAAACAATTCTTTAATGCTTTGCTCGTCACGTTGCGCCACCATATCTCTGCACATGAAGCGTAATTGATCACCTACATTAGACTCGTTAAGGCTTTGGATTGTTTTATAAAGAAGATTATTGTATCCGATGGCAGACATTTACGACGACGAGTATAAGTTTAGAGTCCTTTTCCTTGAAAATAATCTGTTAATTTAGCATCCAAAGACCGTACGCGTCTGAGTATGTTGATTTCACTTTGCCAGTCACGCGATGTAATCAAATATGAATTAAACCAGAATAATTATGTTGGTCACGCTATATGAGGATTTGCGTAATTATGCAAAACAAACAGCTGCTAACTTTCATTCCGCTTAAAGGAACAGTATCCCGTTACTGCGCATGCACCAAACTTTGATTTTTGGACAGGATGTCGCGAAATCAAAAGATGCGAGGAGAGTAAGAGAATCTTGAAAAATCCGTTTGCATCGCGCTTGGCCGGGTTCAATACGACACTAAAACTTCTCAGGATTATAGATCAATGATATATTGTTCCTGTTAAGTTTTTATTTGGGCAAAATCTGGATTTTTTGGCGTTACTTTTATTGCCGTTGGCCGGAGGACCAAAAGATTGGAAGCACTTTGATGCCGATTGAAGGCTTATTTCTTCTGCTAGCTTCCATACAAGCTCAGATAATTGTGAAAGGAATACGCAGAAATGAAACAGCAACAATAAAGACTGTAAGAAAGAAACCGTTGAGACATTGATGTGACTGAGGAGATCTTGTGGAGGGGAGCTTCGTGAAGCAGAATGTTTTGCAACGACGCGTTAGTAAACTTTTAAATGAATCTCCCTACGGCCGACAAAATCGAACAAACAGGCGCTACACGTTTTGAAAAACTAGTGACATGAATCATAATATCATTCTTGACTAACCTTTGTGATGATTCATAGCGTTGAGATTGCATTTTTATTTATGTCTTTCAAACGTTTGAGGCTAGAACGCGAGCAAATCAGGCAGATATTACTGGACTTGGAGCGATTGACCTCTGACACGAGTTTCAAATTAGAAAATATGTTTTTAAAGCGAGCGGAACGAGATTTTCGGGTCGCGAGGCGGCCCAGCTAGCGATAAAATCGCGATGAGTCTTCGAACCGCGAGCCAAATTTTTATATAAGACGAAAGACTTCTTCGAAAGTCTAAAATATTACTTGAGAATATAAACAACAAATCTCTGTCGGCGGTGCGGTCCGGAAGGAAATCTTGTCGAGTCAATTTGACAGTTCTATTGTCTTTAAAAGAAAAAACAGATGACGCTCGCGCGTGCGCATAATCGGGACACTGTCCCTTTAAGTGTGTACGACATCAAAGCTGGACAGCAGGAGGTTATAGTGTCCCCTAAAGTAGATTATAACCTGGGCCTAGGCTTTGGCAGATTGTGCTCGAAAAAAAGGCATATTATGCTTTTAGCACTGCTCATATTTTTTAGAAATTATGCCAAAATTATGCTTCTTTCTGAAAATTATGCTCTCTGTCACCGAAATTCTGCTACTTAGATTTTACACAGATTTTAAGGAAAATAAAGACCATCAGTAGCTTAACTCTTTCAATTTTGACTTAAATGAACATTCATATTGTCCACCTTCCAGTCTTACATTCTTTAGCATCGCAAATACGCATGTGCGCACATGATTTCGCTTTTTGTCACTTTAAACTTTTCTTTGCCTGCGGCATGTTTTTTGGAAGCCAAGTGGTTTTTGAAAATGCTCTTTTTAGAGCTCAATATCTCTTTACACCCATTGCAAAAAAGTTTTCCACCTCGAAGACACGAATTTTCCCCTGGGAATTCTTCGATTCGATCACGAGGAGTCATGTTCTTTGGATCTGAGTTACCTCTTTCCTTGCATTTTCCGGTATTACTTTTAGGAACACGTTCTCTAGAGATTAAAGCTCTCTGTAGGGCACTGGAAGTGGTGGAAGTGGATGTACTCGAGGACGACGCTATCTCTGATCTGAGGCCTGAGGGGTCGAGCCATAAGCGTGGTGGCCTGAGTCTCAGTCTTACGCACAGGGGACCTCTGCCACCTGACGGTCCATATTTGACCATGGGCCTTAGCACAGACCTCAATATTTTCCAAAAACAATACAGAAATAAAATACAAACTGAATTATTCTAGAGCTATGATGGGCTTTTTTGTTTTCAACGCATAAAAGCTCGGATTATGCTAGCAGTGCTAAACTGAAATAAAAGCTTAAAATAATGCTCGTTTTGCTGAATTATGCTTAACATTATGCTAGCACAATCTACCAAAGCCTACCTGGGCCATTTATGGTTTTTATGTACATTTTTTTCCAAAAGCTATTGTTAAAGACATTCACCAGGAATCAATAGATAGTAAAGTAAAGTAAACTTTTAAAAAAAAACTTGAAAAAAAAAAAAGAAAGAAAAAAACTAGTCGTGATCGACCACGTCCACTATTGTTCAAAAATTGTAACCAACGATTCCCACCACGTGCCAAACGAGAACCTCCAGTTTCTCTGTATCACGACATTGACCCTACAACGTGTCTCTCTTAGGGCCTGTTACATGAAGGTGGGGGACCCCAGGTAGTAAACCGCGGCGGGTCTCCCCACCTACCATGTAAATGTGATCAAATGAAAATGAGAGATTATATGGACGGGCGGGTTACCCCCAAAGAAGTGGGTTACCTCACCTACCTGGGGTCCCCAACCTTCATTGAAACAGGCCCTTATCTAATTTACCTACGAAATCAGCTCGGAATGGAATTCGAATTGCAATTGGCAGGTGCAATTGGTGTTTATTGGCTGGTGACAGTACTCCTCTAACCAAAAGTTTTGTAAGCTGTGGTTAAAAGAGTTGCAAATAATAGCCAAAGAAATTTCACAATTTAACGTGTTCCCACATAGGATTTCTGTGTTATTCAGACCGAGACGAGATTTTGTTGTTTGGAAGTTGGTTGGAAAAGTAAAAATGAATATATATATATATATATATATATACTGCTTTATGAAGTTTTCTGATCTTAGGTTTTGCTGTTTAAGCCAATCAGAAGTATAGTACAGATAATAGTAAAGGTAGCACCTTTTTGCACTGTTCATAGCCGCTGTTGCTTTCCTTATCTGGACCGTTTCTTAATTGTCGATGATTGAAAAAAAAAATACAAAGAAAGTAGGCATTGATTGTACCAGCTTCCTCAATGACAAAATAAAGGCCAAACATTCTTAAATACACGACCAAAGTACTTTCAGCAGCAGGGAAATAAACCTAGGAGATCCTTACTAAAAAAATTAAACAGTAAGGGTACCTTCTGCTTTCGTCCTAACAGCTTCCAAAAAGAGAGTGCAATCAGGTGTGGTCCATGTATTATTATATCGGAGGATTGGTGTGGATGTATGCTACCCTACTACCAATCATGCAGCACAAGGAACCAAGCGAAGATCAACTTTAAACTTATATTAGGATAGACTTTTTTTATATTCAAGTAGAATCCATGATTAAACAGAGTGCTTTCCGCAACGAGCTCGCAGGTTATTTTATAGGACAGAGCAGACAGAGCAGAGCACTTTGAAACGGCGATGAAAGATACTCAGTCCTTGCTATTATAGAGTCAGCGCCGTCGACAACTCCGATTAAAACTTCTTTTTTTCCTTTTTTTAACTTTCAGCCAAGTTAACAGATATATTGTTTATTCACCTTAAGTTCTTTTTTGTCGTAGTTATATATACGGTAGGAGGCCTTAAACCCCAAAGGCAGCACCATAGCACTGGTCTGGGTCACACGGTCCCTATTTTTTTCCAAAATTGTTTTTTGGGGTTTACGTGTCCGGCTGTGGTGTATTAACTTATACTTTTAGATACATTTACTTATGTATTAGCTTGTATTACTTAATATCAATAAAGTATACTAGCACTGACTGAAAAAGCGCGTGTTTATTATTTTTCTCCGATAAGGCGCACTATCATTACTTTAGGTCAACGAACAACTTGAATCTGAGTATAGACCGGCTTATTAAGCACCGCGCTTTAACGGCGAACTCCGAACGCCAGCTAGCCGTTTGTCTTTTGTCGTTCCGTTCGCTGTGTTTGTTTGTTTGTTTGATCTTCCCCTCGACAAGTTACATGTTAAAAATATGTACAGAATTTGTCCAAAATATATAATAATTTACTACGGTATTAACTAAACAATGTTTCGGCATACTTCTTTATATTTCTTTTAAACAAAGTAAAATACATTGTACACAGCAAGTGTTCTCGGTAGCCATCCTTTGAGACTGGAGAAATTTGACAGAAAAATATACAGAGAAGTTGTCATCTTTTTTCGCTCGAATTTGAAACTCTCTTAGTTTTACAAACGGTCTTGTAGAGGAAGGATGCACGAAAAACAAAGCATAACTATTAATAAAAACAAGCGATCAAAATGAAGAAAAAGTCGGTACAAATGGCTGGAATTTGCTTGGATAATTTTCTCAAATCTAAAAGCATCCAATCGTAAAATTGCTGAAAAGAATTGAACTGATTAAAATTTGTTTCAGGCCTTCATATTTGGATTCAAATTTCGCACCAACCCCGAGTTATCTTAACACATGGTTTAAACACCTCGGTCCAGCCTATCATATATCAGCTCTATTGGTAAATTTTTATTAGCCCGGCCCTGGCCAAAGGAAGATGTCTTTCGAACGAGTGCAAAATCCTTATTTTTGGACATAAATTCACCCTGTGCCTAACTAAGGTGAAACTCCATAATGGAAAATCATGAAAAGTTCACAATCAAGGGAATGCTCTGATTTTCTCGACCACACGTTTCAAACAAATGCGTCGATTTTTATTAATTGTCTGTTAATTAGGTCTATTATACCGTCTTAATAGTATTTAGGATCTGGAACTTGGTTTTTCTTCTCTAAATTTAATCTATAAGAAGTATTAAGGGACAAAGACCTGAATTTAAAGTCTCGATGTTATTTCTTCTTTTCTCTCTGTTTTGTATTCCAAAAAACACGAAAGTAGAAATAATAAAAACTTTTGTGTGAACTTGTCTGAGCTTGATTCGTGCTTCTCGCTTGGTCGATTGTAAGGACTGATACCTTTCTCGAGCTCCCTCGCGGCAACTGGACGATTAAGAAGATGGGTTTCGACAAACCAAAGTTCATTTTAAGTTTAGGAGATCCAAATGATTAGGTGTTCGACCCTGCACGACTTGCAATGTTTGTGTCACCAAAAGTGTTGCACGATTCTTATTTTCCAATTCTAGTTCGTTATTTCACGCACAGACTGCGGAAAAGCTGTCACCGTTCCTTACAGCTGCTCTCGGAACAGCGCAAAAAATAAATGCGAGGCAATTGGGGGAATTGGGCCTAATATAATATTTGCCCGTTAGAGGAATCGGGTTAGACTGGGTGGTTGAATCAAATTGCACCTGATGGCGGAGCTGAATTTTTTTTTTTTCAGGGACGCTGTTTCTTCGTTAACAACAGCGTTTTTGTTACATAAAATCCACATTTATTGGAACAAAAGAAAGGGTTCACATAAGGAAAATCGCAGTGGCCCACTCTCCGAGATCTCGGCTAGTCGAACCGAGATCTCGTTGTCAGCCCACCATTTTACATAAACTGACAGCGACAGTTTAAAGTGGCTGGCCCACCTCATATAAACAGGCCCTTATCCTTCGTCCAATTCTGTTAGGGCCTGTTTACCTGGAAGTGGGGGCTTCAAGACAGGTGAGGTTACTTGTGGCGGGTCACCCCACCTATCATGTAAATGCAAGAGCCATTTATTATGGCCCTTGGTAAATGTGATCAAATAAAAATGAGAGATTATATGGACAGACGATTACCTCACCAACCTGGGATACCTCACCCAAGCGGGTTACCTCACCCACCTGGGGTACCTCACCTAAGCGGGTTACCTCACCTACCTGGGGTACCTCACCCAAGCGGGTTACCTCACCCACCTGGGGTACCTCATCTAAGCGGGTTACCTCACCCACCTGGGATACCTCACCCAAGCGGGTTACCTCACCCACCTGGGGTACCTCACCTAAGCGGGTTACCTCACCTACCTGGGGTCTCCCTGACTTCCATGTAAACAGGCCCTTAGATCCGGTTACAACTTATATGGCTGGTGCATTTATTTAAGGTCCTTAACACCTGTCACTCCACATGTGATAGGACCTAATCGATCAATCAACGAGCATGATCCGATTACAAAAAGTCATGTTTAGTTTTTGTGACAGAATGTGGTTGTAACCACGATACAGATTCCTGTCCACAAAACGGAGACTAAAACAACTGAAAAGGTGCTTGAGAGCCCGGCGGGGGAAAGGGGGGAATCCACATATGAAGGTGGTACGGATGCTCGTCGTCTCGCTTAGGGGTGTAAATTTCGGATTTTGGTCTCACTTAGGGTGTTCTGGGCAAAACGCCATCATATTTAGCCGTGAAGGCCTCGTTTAGGGTTGCACGCGAAAAAATATAAAAACATATTTATTATGTATATTTTTAATTCATATTATATTACTATTATCATATTATCATATATTACCAGAAACCCATATCTGATATTACTCCATTCATATAATCCAAGTTTTCTGTGTTTTAACATGGTCTCTTTTAGGGGTCAAAGAAAGCTTGGGCCACGCCCAGATCGGTCTCTTTTAGGGGTTTAATTCAAAATTTCCGACGAGCATCCGTACCACCTTCATATGCGTAGTCTCTCCCCCCCCTCCCTCCGGGGCTTGAAAGTGTAATTAACTTCGGGAAATAATACTCAAAACGAGTCTCAACAAGTGGCTCGTACTCTAAAGGAAACGGAGAAAGCCTTGCCTAAAGCTTCAAGGCCACGTTTTTTCGTGTGGCCTATGGTCCGCCGTTCGTCTTGTCTACGTCACCAAAATGCATTGACCGAGAAGGCCTGGGGAGACGCTATACAGGGAGCAGCCCCCAAAAGCAGCCCACAACAACTGACAACAGAGAAATTAAGGCCTGGCCTAAAAATATTTTCTTGGCCCCTGTGGTGAGGGCCCAGGGGACTACTCCAGATCTGCCACTGAATGTTATTTACTGTTTGGCCAATTAATAAAACAAACACATGAACATGCACCCTTTTTCTTTATTTTTTCCAAGGAATACAAGCACTTTAGAAAGTTAAGCCTACAACTACAAATCCAACTTTAAAATTCCACAGCCTTGAGATTTCACTTGGAAGGTGCACTTCACTGTTGCCTCATCGCAAGTAGACTGCCAAGACATCTGCCTCTTCAACGTTGCCTGAAATTAGGAAAAAAAGTATAGTGGACCTTAAGATGACACAGGAATAACCACAGAGCAAGAAAAGAAAGAGCCCTAAATTTCTTAATAAACAGAATATTCTTGTTTGTTGGGGGATAAGTTAACAGCTGTGTTTATAAAAGCTGAAACGGAGGAGGGGAGGGAAATGGGCAAGAATACTTCATTCTTTCACCCTAATGACCCTTATGCAGACTCTTTTTGAGTAGACTCTCTGTTCGGCTGGCTTGACAATTTGTCCACTGGTGCAGAATCAATAGGCTACACCACAAACTACAAAGCACTTGCTTGACTGAATGGTATTTGATTAATTATAAACGTTACGAAAACCTACCATTCTAAATGTATAGGTGGAGGAAAGAGAAAAATTTTATCCTAATTAATAGTGAAACATTTGACTAAATTTACAATTAATCAAACTTTCGGTAATCGAATTCAACCAACTCCACTCGTTCAATTCACTTCGATTGGATTTGGTAATCGAACATAATCGAACCATTGTCTCCTTTTCTGGGCAATCTGGTTACTTCCAATGAGCTTGCTTGGCATTGGGATACCAGGACCCTGAATGTTTTTTTAATGATTAACTCACCATATTGGTTCCAGTTGGTAAGACCAGACAGCTTGCTGTAAAGTATCACATTCTCACGAGCCCGGAAACGCTTCTCCCAATCGCAGTATGGGGGCACAGTTATCACCATCCACCCAGCATCTTTAGGACATCCACCATAGACACTGTTAATGAAGAAGTGACGGCCGTTGCGTGGATCTCCATGGATTGAAAAGTAGTTGTTTGGCTGAGTCTTCATGTCAGTCCAGGAGCTCTGAGTCAGTCTGGAGAGCGAAAACCAGTTGAGTTTGTTTGATCCCTTGGCATTGAATTTCAGCTCCTTCATCAGTTTTCCTCCTTTATACAAGACAACTCTCGCCTTAAAGAAGGATCAAGCAAAAAATATGGCATTTGGATGAATTCTTATTTCTATTACTAACGTAAAAACAAAATAATTTACGTTATTTTAAAATTTCTCTGCCAAGTCGGACATGCAACTAGGACCCCTCTCCACCCCCCCAGTGGTTGACACCTTCTCCAGGACTAGTACAGGATATAGAACACTTGTTGGCCATGGATTTAAGATGATAGCAAAAATAATTTACTACAATAATTTTTATAATTAAATATTCATATAACCTCCAATGGTCCCATGTTTTGCCATTTTAAAATGATCCTGTTTTTGTAGTGGTTAAAGTGCCTGTTAGTGACTTCAAGAGCAGCAAACACTTTCTCAGAGGATGTCTGAACAGATGTGTAGGTGCTATACACATTTTTATTCACTCCAGACACAGCCTTAAATGCCATAGTCCAGCCTATAAATAGCAAATACGAGATTTGAATAAGCAAAAAGCTATAAAAAAAGGGTATAAAAATGGCTAACCTGTGAAAACATGTACCAATTTCAGCTTTTAATGGGAGGACTTACGTACATTGTGTTTAATAGTTTAAAGCATTTCATGGGCAAGCAAATGTCATTTTCTTGAATGACTATAAACCAGTGAATTACTCACCTCCAGCGGCCATATCACAGTATACTGGGAAAGGCTTTTCATCATCTGTAAGCACAATGTAAGTATAAAGAGATCGAGGTTAAATTATACACTGGTTATATAGTATGGGTGTGGTTGATGAGCAGTTTAATAACACCTTGAATTTTGGAGTCTGGGTACAGAGGCCTTACTGTCATGTCATTCAGGGCTGTCATTAAGAGCTGGGGGCCGGGGCCGGGGGCCGGGGGCCGGGGATTTCCCCCGGCTTCTATGAGTGTGGCCCCGGGCTACTTTTATTGGAAAATAGAACAAAATTAGAACCAAAAGAAACCCCTCGGTGTTTGATTCCCTGCACCTACTTGTTGTATTTACCCGGCAACTCGAAATCTTAGCGACAACCCTGTGTCATTACAATTCCTTAGGCAAGAAATTTTTCTCTAATTACATGTCACAACTCTTCATCCAGGCAGGGCTCGAAATTAACGCTCGCAAACTCGCAAAATGCGAGTGATTTTGATGATCTGCGAGTAAGAAAAATATCCACTAGCAAACGATTGCGAGTTAGAATTATCAATGTCTCCCAAACAAAGGGAATTAATTTGCTTGTGGTCTCACCAGTTTGCTAGTGGAAAAAAACCTTACTAGCAAAACTTTGCAAGTGCACTGAAAAGATAACTTCGAGCCCTGCCAGGTGAATAAAACGGTACCAGCGATATACCACCAAGGGTAACCTTCCAATGGAATTTGCTTCCCTTCCATGTTTAATATAGAAATTAACGTAAACTTCAGTTGTATGCGCCTCCTTGTTAATTAGCTTATATATGCCTTTTACTCTTATGCAATAGAAACAGTGTTTCTATTTTGTTCCAGTTTTAAGCTGTGGTAGAGGAATAAATATTTTGTGTTTTAAGTCTGCCATGGCAGACTCTTGTGAATTCCAAGATTTGAAAGATTCATTGATACGTGACCGCATCGTGTTTGGAATCGCTGATAACAACGTGAGAGAGCGTTTGCTGCGAGTCCCAGATTTGACGCTGAATAAAGCTCTAGAAATTGCACGAGCTGCCGAAGCAACCCAAAGCCAGTTGAAACAAATGCAAAACTTGCACGAGGTTAATGCAGTGGGGAAGAAGAAAGAAAAATTCTTCCGAAAGAAACAAGAAGAGAAGAAGAAATCAGCAAACGGAAGTACTCAGCAGATCGACTGCAAGTTTTGTGGCAGGAAACATGTACCAGACAGATCAAAGTGCCCTGCATATGGCCAACAGTGCAACAAGTGTGGAAAAAGCAACCATTTTGCTGCGAAGTGTACAGGAAGAAGGCAGTCCAGTCGTAATTTACATGCCAATCAGAATTTGAATTATGTGCAAGAAGATTCAGATGGGAGTCAATTTGAAGAGTATACTATTGATGTAATAACTTATCAAGTCAGTGCTGTTGAAGAAAAGAAACACCCAAAACAGTTGTTTACATCAGTCAAAGTAAACAATGCTAAAGATGTTACATTTCAGTTGGACTGTGGAGCAACTTGTAATTTGCTATCACTAAAAGAATTCTCAAGCATTATGGGGGATCCCAAAGATCTCTATTTGAAGAAAACATCTGCAATACTCAAGATGTACAATGGAACCACTATGACTCCACTTGGAAAGTGCACTCTCAAGTGTGCCAAAGGTGAGATGAGTAGAGATGCAGATTTTTTTATAATTAATGAGGATGTCAGGCCTCTATTGGGTGCTGAGACATGTCAGGAACTGAACTTAATCAAGGTTATGGCAAGTGACATTTCAGAGTCAGAAACTGTGAACGCAGTAAATGACAAGGTTCAAACTGCCCACATTGTTCTAACCAGAGATCAAATTTTGAAAGAGTACAGTGATGTTTTTGAGGGATTAGGATGCATGGATGGCCCATACCATATGGAACTTGATGAAACTGTAAAACCTGTTGTCCACCCCCCTAGAAAAGTACCTGTCGCACTGAGAGACCGTTTAAAGGAAGAACTGGACAAATTAGTCAGAGAGAAAGTTATCACCCCCGTTACAGAACCTACAAGTTGGGTGTCTAGTTTGGTTTTAGTCAACAAGCCAGAGAAGTTAAGAATTTGTATTGACCCACAAGATTTAAACAGAGCCCTGCTGAGAGCCCATTATCCTCTCCCCACCATTGAAGATGTGGCCACTAGGCTATGCAAGGCTAAAGTCTTCTCAGTTTTGGATGCAAAGAATGGATTCTGGCAAGTTCAGCTAGACAAACCGTCGTCACTCTTGACCACGTTCAATACACCCTTTGGCCGGTATCGTTGGCTTCGCTTACCGTTTGGAATCAAAACAGCCCCAGAAGAGTACCAGCGAAGAATCCATGAAAGTCTACAAGGTCTTAAAGGTATAGAAGACATTGTAGATGACATACTCTGTATTGGCGAGGGTGACACCTATGAAAGTGCGGTTAAGGATCATGACAGAAACCTAATTGCACTCCTGGAGAGATGTCGTGAGAAGAATATCAAGTTGAATCCAAAGAAGTTACAGTTGAGAAAGCAAGAAGTGCCCTACATCGGTCATGTACTGACCCCTGATGGCCTCAAGCCGGATCCAAGTAAAGTCAAGGCAATTGTAGCAATGCCTACCCCTTCAGACAAGAAGGCCCTGCAAAGGCTGCTTGGAATGATTACGTATCTTGCGAAATTTCTGCCTAACCTGTCTGATGTGACGCAACCATTGAGACGTCTATTAGACAAAGATGTGCAATGGCACTGGAACGATACACACGAGAACTCATGGAAGCAAGTGAAACAGTTGATCACAAGAGAACCAGTGTTGAAGTATTTCGACCCCAGTAAAGAAGTAACTCTGCAGTGCGATGCATCGGAATCTGGACTTGGTGCTGTCATACTGCAAGAGGGTCAGCCTATAGCATTCTCGTCAAGAGCACTCACGAGTACTGAAAGAAATTATGCTCAAATAGAGAAAGAGCTGCTCAGCATAGTTCACGGGTGCATACGCTTTGACCAGTACGTTTATGGTATACCAGTTACAGTACAGACAGATCACAAGCCGCTAGAGAGCATTTTCAAGAAATCTCTGCTTTCAGCCCCCAAAAGGCTCCAAAGAATGTTATTACAGCTCCAGAGGTATAGCTTGAATATAGTGTACAAGCCTGGAAAGGAACTATTCATTGCTGATACACTCAGTCGAGCATTCCTTCCCAATAAGCCGAGTACAGAAGAGTTGAAGTCGGAGGTTTTATTAGTCAAACAGGAAGAGTATCTAATCAAATCCATTGAAGAGATCAACATGGTCGAGTTTCTGCCCATCACAAGTGAACGCCTTGTTGATCTCAGAAGAAAAACTGAACTTGACGAAGGTCTTCAGCAGTTGAAACATATTATCAAGATTGGTTGGCCAGAAACAAAAGAAGAAGTCCCATCAGAAATCAGGAGATATTTTGACTTCAAAGAAGAGCTCAGCATCCAAGATGGTATCCTCTTCAAAGGAAATCGAGTAATTGTACCTGTAGCGCTAAGGCCCCACATGATAACGCAAGTACACTCAAGCCACCTTGGTATTGAAAGCTGTTTAAATAAAGCAAGAGATGTCCTGTTTTGGCCTGGCATGACCGCCGAGATCAAGGACTGTGTTTCTAAATGTGAAACATGTAACACTTATCAGACAAACCAGCAGAAAGAACCACTCATACCTCATGATCCACCTAAACGCCCTTGGTCTCATGTGGCAACAGACCTTTTCAGTTTTGACAACAAAGAATGGTTCATCATCGTTGACCACTGGTCAGATTACTTTGAACTGAACCAATTATCCAGTACCAACTCAAGTTCTGTTATCAAGTCTCTCAAGAATCAGTTCGCACGCCATGGCATACCTGATACTCTGTATTCTGACAACGGACCACAGTTTGCTTCCAGAGAATTCAAAGAATTTGCATCCGCCTGGCATTTTGACCACCAAACGTCCTCACCACACTATCCACAATCAAATGGCAAGATTGAAAATGCTGTAAAGACAGCTAAGAAGTTACTAACCAAAGCAAAGGCAAGTGGACAAGATCCATACTTGGCCATTTTGGACTGGCGCAACACACCTTCACCCAGTATTGGATCATCACCAGTACAAAGATTGTTTGGACGACGCACAAAGACACTGTTACCTACAGCAGGAACTTTGTTACAACCAAAGATCATGGAGGGAACTGAAGACAAGCTCAAAGAAAGAAAGACGAAACAAGCACTGTTTTACAACAAAGGAACAAAAGAGCTTCCTGAGCTTCAACCCGGAGACACAGTGCGCATGAAACCGCTGCCATCAGACAAAGGAAAGCTGTGGAGAAAGGGATCGGTTGTCAAACAAGTAGCACCTCGCTCCTACGAGGTAGATCTCCAAGGAACTATGTTCAGGAGAAATAGAAGACACTTGGTAAAGACCAAGGAACCATCGCCACAGTTGGATTTGGAATCCCAAGAAAACCTGCCAGCTAGTAGTACCCCTTTGCCTGTGGAAGGACCACCTGTGATGCAAACAAGATCTGGTAGAATCATTCATAGACCTGGACGACTACGAGATTTTGTTTAAGGAACGTTGTTTAGGACTTTGAACTGTCATCGTCTGACTGATTGTTTGATTGCCCTATTGTAAATAAGTTTTCTTTTCATGAGAAGGGAGATGTGATATTATGAAGTAGTAATCAATACCGCTGACATAATATCGCATACTCAGAAAACGTTTCGGGTACATTCTTGTAAGTTGATTTGAGCTTTCGCTGATTAAAGACTGTTTGGTTAAGTTTGCTCGTTTTGAAGCTAAGGACTAACACAACTTCTTTCCCAAATGATATTGTTCATGACCTCTATATGGAGAATTAACCCATTCGCTCCTGGAGATTTTGCTGAAAAACGCGTTTTGAAGCTAGTCGAGTGGTTTTCTGGTCACTGTCGTGCTATAAAGGGCTAAAACTTACCACAAACCGGTTTACAGGTCGTATGTCACTTCGCGGCCTTCTGATCCAGATGCAAAATATTAGCTTGCGAAGTTCGGGCACGCGCAGAAAGCAAAATTTCGACATAGTTTTTGGGTTTAAAAGTGACACAGCAGTCTTGACTTTTACTTTTCGCTTTCTCTCCTCCCTTCTTTTTTCACTTCTCTTGCCTCATTTTTTTTCTCTCTTGCTGGGCATTTAGTAGGCTTCAATTTGGTGGGAAGAGTTTTTAGGAAAGCTTTTAGGATCTTAGGATTAGGTGAAAGGAAAGGTAGGTGGGTAATGGAACAAGATTTTCATGGAGATTTTCAGGTCAATGTCTCGTGGTTTTTTGCTTCTTTCTCCGGTGTCCTTGACTGAATTGTGCTCATTCTGGTATGGTTTGAAAGATCTCTTCACTCTACACAAGTTAGCAAAGAAAGTTGTCCTTGACCGTTAAAACTGATGACGTCACAAAGGGTAGAAAGGACCTGGATCCGCACGGGCAGTTACGGGCGATTCAGGGGCGAATGGGTTAATACAGGTTGAAATCTGTGGGTAATATTTAGAGGGAACTGTAACATGCAAATTTTGATTAAATATTTTTTTAAATGAATAAAATCATGAAATTGTACTGAGATGAATGTCTACTATTTAGATTCATGCATACAGAAAATGGGCAGAGTGAATGTTTACTTATTGTGTAATACCTGTTAACCTGATCCAATAGATGCCATTCTGTTTTCTTTTGTTGGCATTGATATCTTTACATGAAAAACCTGGATTAGCTTTTGATCCATAAGGGCACTTGCCATAGTAGGTATGGCCACAGTGACAGTTGTAGGTATTGGAATATGAAGTGCCTGCCATGCATAACATGATTCCAGTAACGAAGATGACAAACACGGTAAGATGATGCATGGTAAACAAAAGTCTGTAAAAAAAGAAAAGACATACTGTAGGGGAGTAAACTGTATCAAAACAACCTTTCAACTTCCAGGAATCTACCACCCCACAGTCTGAGTTACAGTAGTAGCTAGACTTCCAGACTATTAAGGGGCAGATCTAGGGGGGGGTGCACACCCCCCCTCCCAGCCATGAGATGATCTACGGCTTTTTAATACAACTGGATTTGCTTAGGTCACCAGTCAGTTACACCATTCCTTTGTAGTGCACATACCCCGTCCTGCGCAAAATTCTGGATCTGCCCCTGCTATAACCTCATTGTTTACTCATTTGCTTCTTTCACACATTACTACAATATTAGACAAACTATTTAATCAGTTGCATGGCACTAATTATACAGCATTTCATAATCAAGACTTCTTTAACAAGTATAGGCCTAGCTGTGACTATACCAATACACTATGGCTAGCTTTGCCCAGTGTACCAGTGACTCAATACAGATACCATTATGAAAAGATTGACAAAGGCATGGGTGTCAGCCCTCACATACTTCAATGTAATGGGCAATTCGAACTGATGATAAAAAAAGAACCTGAGCTGTTAGACCCCAATGGTTAAGAAAGAAGAGAAAGGCAAACAGAGGGCCTCCCATGACCCTTTGCTATCAGATAACAGAAGAATTATCTCGACAGAACACCTTTAAGGGAACAGGGGGCTGTTAATTTAATCTTTTTTTTTTTCAAGGAACAGGGGATTCTGTAGTTGACATTTTTGCTGTTTTTCTCAGGTTTCTTGCCATTATGTGATGTTGCAACTTGACTGCAGCTGGAGTGTGCTATCATGAAAAAAAAATTGCTCTTCACAAACAACAGTACATTATACTAAACTGAGGAGGTGTTTTTTCATGTATAAAGGCTTCTAAGGTAATGAATACACAACTGAACAGAGTTTTCAATGTGAGAGGGAACCTGTATGTTCATTTATTGCACGGGGGGGAGGACGAAACTTCTTTAATATTGTTTTAAGGAGAATTCATATGAACACCTCGTGGTATCATATTAATTCTTGGGGCAGGAAATAGTACGGAATGAAGAATTCAAGAAGATGAAAATAAAGCGAAATGGGGAAAAAATAAGAGGTAAAAGGAGCCTTTGACTGAAATTTTATTCCTGCATGACGAGGTTTATCGAACTCCCCACAGCAGAACTCTAACACTCCGGCTAGGGAGTAATTTTTGCATAATTATATTTGGTTAACTAAAATTCCAGTACCTTAAATTAGTGTTTAACTCTGCACACCTAGCTGACAACAACTTTACCCCAGGAATTAGGTTTTACAAAATAGATGTTTTTGTTTCTGCTTTTTTTCGTTTGTTTTTTGGTTTGGTTTTTTTTCCTACTATTATTGTTCCGCGTATGAAGGCGGCATGTTCGTGTCAGTTCGTGTTATCTTTGTGTGTGTGTGTGTGTGTGTGTTTTTCTTTTTTCTTACATAAGTTTTGCATCTATGTCTTGCTTCTTAGCCACAAAAATATTAAACTAACCTGTCAAAGATTTTTCAAACAGCTTCATATCAATTAGCTAATATCGCACTAATTCGTTACAAGGTATATATGAAACTGAGATAACCTTAAAATTATTTCCTTAAACGTAAGAGGAAACCTTTAATTGAGAAGAAATTTGTTCGCTAGCTACATCTAAATTCAACTAGTAAGGTTATACTCAATATTAGACTCGCAGTTTATTGTACTTTTGTAGCAAGACTGTAATACAATAATGTACTGCAATCTATTTGTAAAGTATCTTTTTTTTTCCAGTTTGTGTAAGTGTTGATAGAGATTGAAATAAAAAAATTGACAAAATATTGAACGCGTATGGCCCCTAGAAAGGCACAAAAAAGAAAGATCGTTTTACTGTTATACGGAGGTTCAGATGAGAACAACAACGTCCATTCCTTTCTAGTTAACAGGTACTCCTGTATTAGAAAATTGAAGGCATCAACATTGAACAGTGGTTATGTCTTGCCGTTTTGCAGAAAGATGAGTTGTCATTTCGTAAAAAGTTACCACTTAAGCTTATGTACTTACGGCAAGGTAGACTTGTTGTTTCCAAGGAGAAATTTTTACAAATCTTTCCAGGGACAATTGCTGAGGCAAAAGGCCAGCGAAAAGAACTGAAAATGTTGCCATAATTTCTCTAGAAAATAGAGTCCTCAATTCAATAACATGAAAAATTTCTCGTCAAACGATCCGTCAAAGCAAGGTGAGCCTTCAATCACTTTACAGCGAGAGGAAGTCACGCAAGTACATACCCCGGGACGTCACCCGCGGGACACAACCCAAACGAAAATGACGGGAAATAATGCCCTTTTTTCTCCCCAACTACCATTCCCTGATTGCATCACTCAGTTGATTTTTGGGGGGTGCACCTTAGACTGCATTTGTTGTTGATTTTTTTTGTCAATGATAACTTTTTTTCAAAATATTTGAAAATTGATATGACCAGTTTACGGTTGCACAGCGGTTATCCCCTGAAAGAAACAAAATGGCGACTGGTTCAAGATATTGACCAGGAGATCGACACTGCGTTGGGTTGGTCTACTTACAAAAGTATATTCTTGGTTAAAACAGCCCTCCTTGTTGTAGTTAGAATAACATACCCGTGACCTGTAGGTAAAAGCCACAAAGATACTGATTTATATCCGAAGATTTCATGTGGTGTCTTGGCGTGTTTGCAAGATCAGATCAAGGAGTTTGCGCTTCATTCATTTCTTGCAGTGATTGCCATGTACTCCGAATGGGTCTCTCTTCGTAACACGCTACAGCGTGATCAAAGTAACAGAAGCGTTTTGCAGAATTTTCCACCATCCGTAGGAAAAGATGTTGCTCATACAGTTGTCAAAACACTCGTCAATTCGGGAACGCAAGAGTCGCTTCGTTCAGAGAAAGAAGTGGATTGGATTATGGAAGTTCTCTGTCATGGGTTAACTCTTCAAATGACCGAGAGTGATGGCGAAATAGTCAAGGGTTGTGTCAATATATATCTGGACTGGCTCACAGTTTTGGCAAATCCTAAGAATGGAATTCCCGAACCCCTGCTCAAGACCCCAGAGAAATATGCTACGGCAATTTTCCAACACTTTCGTAACCTTTTTGTTAAAAGAGCAGAGGGAAATTTAGCTTTGCAAGCCTCATTATGTATCAGAGTGCTACAAGCAATTCAAGCTACGGCTGCAGAAGCAAAGATGTCGCATTTAACATGGGAGGCATTGCTAAAGTTTTTGATGATCATAAATGACATGCTTCTTTCACCGCCAAACATATCTGGGGGACTTGCAGAACACTTGTGCGAAAAATTAATTAGTGTTCTGCTTGAACTGTGGCTTTATGCCAGCTGTTATCATTTCCCTGCACCTTCAATGTGGAAAACATTGCGAGAACTTTGCATGTCATGGCGACATCACAGTGCAATGATTGATTACTGGAGCAGAACATCTCTCTCTCTTACCAAGAAAGTGATACAATTCATGTATGGCCCTAGCTTCCCTTTGCCTCTGGTACCGACCAAGAAAAGTGATGTCCGACTTCCAGCCAAATTAGCTAACGATTGCCTCATACAGTGCTGGTTCCGAATTCTCCACATCATAGGAAATCCTGTTGACCTCTGCAAGAAGGAGGTCATCAGTGCTACACCTAGATTCAAAGAATTTGCTTTGGAAAGCGAAGAAGTTATTTCACCTGAGGCCCATCCTTGTTTGAAAATGCTTCCACAGAATTTTTTGCAAGCAATGAAAGGTATTGCAGTCCTTATAAATGCCTTCCTGAGCATAACGACGACAGTGGATGAGCCAGTGAAGCACATACCAATACCGGCACCAACAAAAAGTTCAAGCCCGCCACCTGCCAAGAGGCGTGACCTGAAATCCCTGAGTATTGGTTTGGCTCTAGGTTTAAATGATCTGACAGGGATTGTAAGATCGCAAACAGTCCCATCCAGAAATAGCAGTGGAGCTTCGTCTACTGGAATACCCCAGCTAGACCCACATCACACAGAACTAACAAGCATATCCTCAACCTCAATGCTGTTTCCTAGATCAACAGCTTCTGACACAGAAAGGCCATCAGGGGACAGTGTGCTTCATTTGTTTGGAGCATGGCTCTTTGATGCTATATTTGCCAAGATGGACATGCCAGCAAACTTCAAGGCCCTTGGACAGATCTATGAAGGATTTGTTGGAAATACTGTTCCTGAAATGACAGGAACAGGCCGGGTGAGGTAAGGCTGTGAATTCTTGATTACTTTACATGTTCTTCAAAAGCCTATTATTGTTTTCCATGCAGACATGTAATGTGATTTTCAATCTTTATCACCCCTATTATTTGATGGTCTTATCTGAGTCAATCTAAATTCTGTAGGTCAAAAAATTAAGGGTTTTTTCCTTTATTGTAGGTTGGTTCTCAATTCCCTTTGCCTCATAGCCATAATAGCCCACGTTTGCTCTATAAAAAATCTAACATGACTCTGAACCTATCTGGTAATATTTCGATATTTTGTTTGGTTTCTTTGTCCTCAAGTCTCTTCTTTGAAATGCAAGCCAATGGAGTCACGAAAAAAATCTTAATTTTGTCCCTAAAGCCTCAGAGTCATGTGAGAATATTAATATATCGAACGTGGGTAATTGAGGAATGAATTTCTATTTTCTATTAATGAAGGCAAAAGGTGTATCCATTGAATTGACCCTTCCCCTTTTTGCCAATCAGGTGAATTCCCATAAGGGGTTTTTTTAGGATCGGGGATCAGGCTTGTATCATTGGAATGAGATGCAGGTTTTGGCAACTTCTTAATTTGATTGTAAATTTAGTGCAAGTTGCAAAACATGATGAATGTTAGTTGAATCTTATGTTAAAACCCATGTTCCAGTTCTCCGTGTGTGTTTTTCATTCTCTAAAACATGGTTCAATTAAACATGTTTAGTTGTCATGAATGGGGCATTATGGGTAATGAAAACCATTGGAATTGTGGGACATGGGAAGAGACTGTTTTGGCTATTGGGTTTAAATAGCTTGTAGTTGTATAATGATTTTGTTACAAATAGTTATGGTGAGTCCTGGGACTCATCTTGTGAAAAATTATGAGTCCCTGTACATAACAAGTGAGTCCCAGTTCAAAAACACAAGGAGTCCTAAATTGAAAAATTTAATTGCTTGCACCTTTTTGTATCCAGGCAGCTAATCTGGAGAAGGATGCCGAAAAAAACTCTTTATTACAGTTTACTGAAAAAAGAAATCACACAAACAGGATATTTTACCAAAGAAATCTTCTAATAGATCGATCGTTCTTTGTGTCCTATGGAAGCATGCCATGAATTATTTTGAGTCTTTGTGGAGTTTTATGCATCAGGGATGCAGGATGCAGGGAAACAAAATCACTGATTGTACATGTATTAGAGGGATATAATATTATTGACTGAAAAACAGTCCATATTTTTGCGTATTCAAGTACGTGCGAACAGTCAAACAAAAAGTCTGGAGCAAGGCTAAAAAAGGGGGTGTTGCGCACTTCACATTCTTGAGACTCTTATGCTACGTGAAATGATTTTGGGTAAATATCTGACTGTTTTGGAGTTTTTTGGGGGGACCCTCCTTTAAACCTGAATCTGAAATTGTACAGTCATGTAACCATACCAATCTGACTTTGTTGTTTGTAGGTGTGATGTTGTGGGCTACTTCGTGGACAGTAAGTTTGAGCCAGGGTGTGCAGAGGCTTATGGCGCTCTTTGCCGCATCTTTTGTAGTCATCAGTCTGATCAAGAGATTAGACCAGTCTATCTCTCCAGATTTTATTTAGCGGTGGCAATTGGACTCCTGTATTCAGACGTAAGCAGTGTTATAACATTACAGTCATTTTTGATTGGTTGATTTTCTGTTTTTAAGATTTCCTGGACATGAAGTGTAGAGTTTTGGTATTACACAAAAAATTTAGTAGACGTTTGAGGTGCAAAACAAGTGATAGCTTCCTTTGGAGAGTCAGAAGTCCTTGTAAATGAAGCCTAAAAACTTTTATGAGAAAAATAACTTCTATTAGTGATAAAAAGATGAGTGGCTGAAATGAATTAATTTTACATGTAAATGGTTCTTTACCTGTTTTCTCTGAGTAGATTGAATAGCTGTAAACTGTCTAATGTGTAGGTGCAAGCTGTAAGGAAGCTTCCAAACAGTACTATCCCTTAATTTGAGTATCAACAGAGGAGCTATTAATGTGAATGGAGTTGTTGTGTGTATTACCGTAGCCTGTAGTAAAGCTAATGAGTTCCAAGTTATTGCAACAGTTCTGTCTGATTGGGTACTTAGAGTACACGTAACCTAAATTTGGTTCTGCTTTGAAGAATGTAAAGCTGGCAGTAAGAGTTTTGAACATTAGCATTAGAATGTTTGTACATAGTGTTACAGGGCTCCAGCTGGAGAGCTGAGTTGTCTTGCTGAAGAGAGATCTTATCAGCCAAGCTGCCATCTTGCTTGCATGTTCTGATTAATTTACATTGTACCCAGCAAATTCAAATCTTAGTGAAAGCCCTACATGTACAATGTACATTATGACTAAGATAAGAACATTGAGGTAAGCAGTTAGAACAAGCATTATAATAGTATTACGTTGAGCATTAGAATGTTAATTATTAAGTCTTAAAACAACTTGGAAGGTGTTAGCTTTCCATTTACAGATTGTTGTTAGTCAAATTGATATTTTCCACTCAAATAAACATGTACCATAATTTGTTATTGTTCAATCTCTTTCAGTTATGTACAGGTCACGTTCTGTGCAGTATACTTCTTAACTCAGCTGATCTCTTGCGAGTTGACCTTCAGGGGGTACAAGTGCTGTTACCACACCTTATTGCTGCTCTTGAGACAGTGCTACCCATGAAAGAATTTCAACTGAGGTGCAGTATAAGCGCTAATTAAATGAAATGAAGAAATAAAAGATGTGCATTTATAAAATAAACAAAATTCCCTTGTCACTATAGTGTATCATTTTGATTGGTGCATTTGTCAACTTGTGCTTCCATAATTATTATGTTGCATTATTTTTGTCCTTTGGTATAACCCCCATCTTACTGCAAACACAGTCCAGATTAATTAATGATCCTGGAAACAAAGGAAACAATTGCTTTTGTTATGGTACAATCACTTTCCTCACATAAGAATATGTTATTTTCACACTGAGAATGCATAAACCTACAAAAAGGCAGTTTATGAAACTCCATTTTTAACAGCTGCCGTTTTGTGTAAGATTTTGACCAATCATAAGAGTTGCAAACAATACCCAAGAAAAGTTTACAATCAATTTTTACTTGTTTCTTGCATAGGATTTCTGTTACTTACAAAGATTTTTGTTAAAAGGAAGTTGTTTTAAGAAAACAGGGGATTAATATACATGCTGCTTTGTGAAGATTTCATGAAATTTGATGACTGTTTAAACCAATCAGAAATTCAGTGGAGACAAAAGAAAAGCTTAAATCTTTATGCATTGTGACATTTCAGTGCATGTAGCTAAGGTTTTGTTTTGGAATTCTTTGGTTCGCAAAATGATAACAATGTTAACGAAACAGTATCTTCCAAAATCATGTACATTTACTCTACAAGTGAAGGTGTGATATGCAGTCAATCCTGTATGTCATGCTTTCCCAGTATTTTTCCAAAAGATGTTTTTGCTCATTTAAGAGTTCTGCATCATTGTACAGTACATGGTAAATAATTATATTGACTCAGAGGTTGAGTTTAAAAACTGTAAAAGTTTACTACATTATGACTGTAATCGCAATTTTTTGTCTTGCGTAACCTTTTCTCTCACGATGTTCACACAGGTGTAATGTCTCCACCACTGAGCTTCGTAGAGCAGCAATACATCTTCTGTTATCCATGTTGTGCCTTCCACTGCATTTTCAAGATCTCCCTATAAAAGGTGTGAAATATTTTGCAAACACTTTATCACAGACTGCTCTGGTCTGTATGATTTTGTTAAAATTATATTATAAAAGAGTTTTGCCTTCAATTTGGCAGCTTTTGGCTGCTTCCTGAGTTCACTGTTACTGATATTCCATTGCTGTCATCCAGAGCTATCTCCTTTTTAGTGGAGGCTGCGTGGCCGAGTAGTTAGAGCGCTGGACTTGTAATTTGGAATCCCCAAGTTCAAGTCCCACCCTGACCACTAGCTGGATTTCTTCTTGGTAGTCCTGAGTTCAAATCCTTGGCAATGCTTGTAAATAGCCAACTGGTTTGCCTCTTATCAGTTGGGATTCTTAAACATATTATCTTCTTCTTTTTTTTTTTTAATTATTGGTTCTGTATCCCTGAGAAGCCCTGTAAGGGGAGTGGATATTTTCAGTATTTATAATTTATTTATCTATAATTCATAATTTATCTCTGTACCTACAGCTGTAATTGATTAGTACCTTGAGTTAAAGCCTAATTTTTTACTTTGTCTATTGTATTTTTTCTAGACATGACAGCAACATGGAGAAAGAAAAACTCTGCTGAACAAGACAATCAAGAACCCAAGAAGACACTGACATTTATGTCACTAAAGCCCAGACTCACTAGACTTTTGCTGGAAGCTCTGCAGTGTGAAGCGGACTCTTTTAATGTTCAGATCTTACTGGGAGGTTTGTTGTTGTTTAAGAAAGTTTTAAGTTGGATGTGACAAGGTCTTCTGTACTTTTGTGTGTGCCCTATGAAAAAAAAAATGCTTGTTGCATCCTTAGACATATAAGTGTACGATTACATGCTTATACACTAACAATTCCAACATTTTATATCTAATATTGTCCATCCTTTTCCCCTGGGCCTCCTAACAGGCAAATACTCATTGATCGTCAAATTATCAGGCTTCTACACCAATGTGCTGATAAGTTCCCTCTGCAGCACAGACTGTATTATGGTACCCTGTTCGTACTCACATATCTTTTACTATACATTGCATGACCATTTCTCTTCAGGTGTATCCTTACTAGTCCAAGACAGCGAGATTGCGGAGTCCCAAGGGATTGCTTCCCCTAAGCAGGATGAAACTCCAGCCCGTGTGTCTGATCATCTCCAGGCTCCTCAGGATGCTCGCCGCCGAGCCAGCACTGGTAGCAGCCCAATATCAGAGGCTGGCAGCACTGGTACTTTGGACAGTGTTGGCCAGCTTGGATTCAGTCAGCAGTCTGTGCAGTCAAATGGTATGCATTCATACGTCTTAATTAATGTGAAAAAATGTTACGAAATATGTGGAAGCTTAGCAGCTGAGTTACAATACTGTCTTATTGAATGAAGCAGTAAATAATAATTTTTCAGAAAACTTTGGTGCTGCGTCAGTCAGACAGAGTATTGTTAAAATTCGATTTTGTCAACTTCTTTAGTTAATCTCCTATGAAGCATGGTGTAGCCTGCAAGCATGCAAGCTCTCTGGGGCACTCGGGCGGTGGGGCAGGAAAAGGAAGGAGAGCTTGCAACTACATCTCTGGAATTTGATGTCTGCATCAAAAAGGTCGATGCAAAATGCTGATTGGCGTAGATGACACTACTAATAACGTCACTACCCTTGGCACCTTTTTTTTTTCAATGTTTTTTTACATTTGCACTCTTTTCTGCTTCATTCTGATTGGCGGAAATCTGACAGCCCAGTTCACGGGGAGCCACAGGGGAATTCACAGCAGTATTCAAATTCCATCTACATCCTCTTCCAGTGCTGCCACCAGAGCGTCCTGGTGAGATTGATTGCAGGCTAATCATGATTTGTTAATGACCTCTTTCCTTCTCAGTGAATATTGATCTTCAAAAACACTTCAAACTATCCCAGTTTCCTCTCCTCCTTTCCAAACCACAGTGTCCTGTTATCTGGAAGCCTGTTCACAATCTAAATTGTGGTCTAGCCAATTCCATATTACAATTGCTTAGACCTGATACTTTTGCCTCCACCACTTTTGACATCCTTCAATTAAAAAAAATTTTGGTCTTTTACACTCGTACTTCATGTTCTAAACTCTGCAATTCTTAATTATTTCTGTACACTGAACTGTATTTGTTCCCTTTTTTGTTTTCAGCTGACCTGAGCACAATACAGGGTCTCTTTGTGCAGTTGACACATCTCCTTTGTAATAAACTTGTTGTGATCAGAAGCAGCCGATGGAAATCTGACGTGCACATTACACTGTCTGCGTTTGAGCTGCTTTCTAGTCTTGCTCAACTTAGCATGGATCATTTGGGTAAGGAAGATCTCATGTATTTTGTGGTTGAATTTTATCCTTGTTTTAAGTTTTATTCCCCCTTGAGTTTCTTTTTGCGTATAGTAATGTACATTGTCTGATAATGACTTTGAAACGAAGCAAAAGTAAATTAAAATCGTTTAGAAGAAATAGAAATATTTTATATTATTTCTTGTTTGAGTGTGAAGTAGTATGACTTCCGCAAATACAATGGACTGACATTGAGCATGGGTTTTCCTCTTGAAGAAAGCATCTAGAAAAGCATAAGTTATAGCCTGCGTAGCTGGTGGGATTAGCAGGCAAGTGCCGTAGTGTTTTGGCAGCGGAGCCGCATGAAGGTTGGGAGCAAGTTAAATTGATTTTCCCTCGCGGCTTCGCTGTTCTCGCTTCGCGTGGCGGCTCTGCCGCCAACCCACGCACAAAAATTTCACCAGCTACGCAGGCTATATAAGACTAATATAGTAAAATATAACTTTAAGTTATATTTTACTATATAGTATAAGCCATCCAGCTGCACACTTTTAAAACCCATGGATAAAAATAATGTTGGATGTTTTTTGCTTTTTCAGACCAAGCTGAATGCAAGAGTACAATTCACTGGTTGTGTGATTATGTATCATACCAAGCCAATAAGAAAGCCACACATCACTCACGTGACTTACACTCTATGATAGTTGCTGCATTCAGCTGCCTACAAACATGGATAACGTCACACCCATGGCTATTGGACAGTCAGGTCTGTATAATCCTTTTACTCGCAAGGCTAGTGTTCCAAACGGAAAACACAAGAGAAAATCCAATTTAAATAAGTAAAGTAGTGCTAAATAAATGGTTCCATGTCAAAGTACTTTAGAAGGGGTTCGGATAGAAGGTTACATGTAGAATCACCATGTAAAACATGATGAATAGCACCACTGAAAAGTAGTGTACATTTGCTTTTATTTCAATGGTCACATTATGAAAATTCCATTCCCAGAAGTAAATGTTAGAACCATCGTTTACAGCGCAATAAACAGCACCCCAGAAAAGAACTGCTCAGTAGATTTCTTTGATCGCCCTTAAAGATTTTATCCACAGAATCAAAAGATAGAACCATAGTGAATAAGGGCACAGTACAAAGTACTACTCAGTACCTTTCTTTTGAATTGCTGCACTTCGTTGTTTTGGAAGTTCTGAATTAACCCATAAGAAAGTGTATAGAGAAGTAAAAACGCTTGGTGATATCAATTTAATGCGTTGGGAAAAAATTACATACACAGCTATAGAGGCTTACGGTCATAAAATAGCAGCATCTTAAATGATTTGTTTTTGAACTTTGCAGGGCTGCTTACAGGTTGTCATGGAAGTTGTTGAGCTGGGAATATCAGGAAGCAAGTCCAGAGAAATTCCAAGAGTAAGTAACACAACAAACCAGTGTGGTTTTACTTGCACGTTGAATTTTTGAGGTAAAAAGTCGAGACGGCGTAGGGGTGACAGCACTGGCCTCCCTCCATTTGACACAGAATTCTTGGGTCACAAACGATGCCAACGTAAGTCGACCACAGCTTTCATCAGTTTTGACACAGCAATTCTATAAATTTCAGTACCAAAGTTTCTGTAGTGGCCATTTGAAGTCCTCAATTGTTTTTCTTTCATAGCCTTCAATTTTCCTTTCAAATCGTTAATTTTCTAAAAATTTAGACTGTTCTTACCAACACTTTCTTGCTTCTATCTCAAGGATCATCAGCAAGGAACAGAATTCATCCCTCAGTTAAAAGGTGGGTAAATACCAAGGTTCCACTTCTACTTCTTGCAGTGTCAGCTCAATTTTTTGTATGTTCCCCTACTGATATAAGCAAGGCGATAGGATTAACCACGTTTAGGCTTTGCGTAGGCTGGTCAAACTTCTGTTCTTCTTCTGGTCAATCTTCCTTTTCTTATTTTCAATGGTATCTGCCTTGCAAAACACTTAGGCTCAAGGGTAACAAAATTAAGTAGTTTTAAAATCATCATGTGATTTGTTATAATTGTAGAACAAAAGGAGAAATCTCTACACTGTACGAATTGAAAGTAAATCTTGCCGAGCGGTGAACATGTCGCAAACGGTGCACTGATAAAATCATAACTTCCTCTGACGCCAAAGAATGGAGTGTTGTGCGCTCAGATGCTTTTAGCGGGAAACATTTGTAGGTATCATAGGATCTCGAATAAGTAATTATAGAACGCGTCCTGTGTGGGAAAAACGTCCAGCTTTATATTTCAGTAATGGTTGTACTCCTCATTGCAGGTGACAAAGAACTGAAACCTGTATCGTTCAGAGTGAGAGAAGCAGCTGAAGCCCTCTTGACTGTCATAATGGAACACTTGGTAGGTCATCTAGGTATTAATGGTGTTCACAGTCGAAAGGATGGTGACTGTTAAAAATTTTCATATGAGCAGAGGTTACCCATGTTGGAAGCATGTTGAACCTAGCGTAGGCCAATGCCAGTTCATTACACAGTTATCCCAGTATTCACTAGTATGGAGGCGCTGTGAATACCCAAACCCAGACCTTCAGATTTGAAGTGCAGCTCGCTGCCTCTCCCACATTCCTCGATAAGGAGATAGTGTGAACTCGTTTAGATAAATTAGTGGGAGAAATACTACTGTGCTTTGACCAATCAGTTTGTAATGAGAAACAGGTCAGACTCTTCTTTTAATTCAACAGGGAGCTTTCCCTTCACCTTGTGGTCCAGCCTCCTTATCATCTCTTCTGGACGAAGACTGGGTTTTGGATCACGTGCAGCCAGCTGATGGCTCAACAAAGGTCAGGACAAGGCGTTAAGAAGAAGATAACGTACAGTATTCTGTCACGAAAAACAAAAAAAGCAAAGCTTTTATTATACAGCAACCACCTATAACCTGCATCTTGCTTTCGAGCGCAGCGTCCGCACCAAATTTAATGTGAGTCTTGAGCTCTCTTGCGTCCTTCCATCTTTGTTTGTTTCCTGCCTTTTGCACCACTTCATCTACCCGCGCTTTTCTCCCTTGCACAAATTCCAGTACTTATTAACGTTTGGTGCCAGCGACATGTTTGTCGTACTTTTAACTAGTGCATTTTACCCGCGCTTTTATTTCTTTGCACACAGGTATTGAGTACTTGACGTTTGGCGCCGTCAACATGTTTTCCCGCCTGTTAAACAACAGTTCTCTCGATCTGCCCTTTCCCGCGCTTGGCTCCAGGTCATTTTACCCGCCTGCTTAACACTGCTTCTATCCTCTCGCGCTCTGGCACCAGTTCATTTTTTCGGTACTTTTCTCCTTGCTTTCTCGCCTGCCTATCAACGGTTCTGTCTTCTCCCGCGCTTGGCACCAGACGAGCGCCAGACTCATATTATTTTTGTTACTGTTTATTAGCAAGTGTTTCACATGTTACGTGTTTATTTTTCATCAGACGCCCCGCAAATTCCAATACTTTGTAATCCAGGATAGCAGTATCATGTTAGGATTGTTAGAAGAATCCCTAAAGCACAAAGGTAAGCTTTTGTTCAGCTTACATCACTCAGAGTTATTCATTGCAGGATACATGATTGTTTTAAGCCTTTTCCACCATAAATGCAGTCATATGGGGAGACTAAATCTTTGCTTGCCTCTTGGGTTGAATGCCCTGGGGCCCAGTTTGCTGAGGTTGTGGCAAGCCCCTTAGATATCACTGGCTTTGAAACTACTGTTCTGCTTTACTGTAGAGAGCTTTTAAGAAAATGACATTCATAGTAAAGAATTTTCTTGTTTAATGAAGATTCCCCAGAACTTGATGGCTTAATTTTTGTGCCTGTTTACTGCTACACGTAAGACAAATTTGATCTGATAATGAATAACAACTGTACCACAAAACAACGATGTCCATTTAATATGCTAGCAAGGTTACCGTTTGCCATAAAATAAATGAACCACGGCAAGCATCGCATTCTTTAAAAAAAAGAATCAACAAACCCATTGATTTTAAGCGATTTTCATCAATTCTAAACCCCGTGCAGAAACAATTCTCACATCGACGGTGTGACCCGGCCTCTCTATAAGCTTTATTTTACACTAACTTGATAACATCAACATGTATTTTTTTTTCTGTTAGACCCTTTACCGACCTTGTCAGCAGTTATCCGTGGTCCCACTGGCCGTTATGTGTGGACCATGCAGTTAAGACAGTTTTCACGACAGAAAAATGTACAGTACTTCATGTTATTTATTCAATTAATCCTTTTATTCTGCTCCATGAGAAATTTCTGCGATTTGATTGGCTTAGAGCAGTGGTATTTCAGCTTAATTCAGCCGATGTAAACGTTTGACCAGTGAAATCAGCCTTGTTTAAGATGACAGTTGAAGAACTGAATTTTTCTATTATGTTTCTTACTACTTTTTCTCATTTTGGATAGGTTTTTTAACCTTTTGACTTCTAAAACCAATCTTTGATTCTTGAATTTTTGCCTTCTGCAATGACTCCTGACACTTTCATTAATTCATATGCGAAGTTTTACGCACTGCAGCTAGTTGACGACCTTTTTGTTAAGGGGCTAAAAAGTCCTTGCTCTCAAATATCGGTACGGCGAACAATTTTCTTTAGAAATGCTTTAGTATTGTAATATTTTGCACAAGAACTAACGTTCTTTCTAGTAAATTTGCTTCTTTCTCCTTAGGACCTGATTGAGGCGCACCTTAAGGACCCAGGGCGCCCTTCACCAGACAAGACCCAACATCGACCGCCCCCGAACATAAAACACCGGGCCTTCCCTGAAGCGGTGGATACAGTGCCTCTCACGAAAGCGTTAGTGAATTTGTTTTTTTTTTTCTTCTTTTGCAACATCCGTCCTATTTCCTCCAAGTTTTCCTATAGCTTTGTACGTGCCTTATTTATAGCCTGCGTTGCAGCTGGTTCACCCATCGTCTAAACCATTGGCTCATGCCGGCAGTGTAAAGTGTCTGCAACGCAAGCTAGTGCCTTATCTCAGTTGGAACCCTTTTACTTAAACAGAGACCCGACGTTGTTGTTATCAGGCCGGTATCACATGCATTGTACGGGTGGATAGAGAAAAAGAAGGTTCGGTTTGGGAAAAAACGGTGGCGTTTGCTATGACCAGCAGCTCTAAATCCTTCTCAAAAAGCGCTGTATGACTTTGTTTTAATAAAAGTTCTCTCCAACTTTGCAGGACCGCAGAGGAAATTCGAACATACGTTTTTTCCTTCGGCAAATAACCTACGATCAGGAGTTTTTTCTCGCTTCCCATGAAAGACATAAAATAAATATAGATAAAAACACAGTGAGTGTTGTTTGTGTGTGTAAGGAGCGGGGACTGTAACTAGTTCCATTTCCATCTGTTGTCAAACGATTTCCGTGCACTGTTAGTTCTTATTTTTTACCTTTTTTTTCTCTTTTTCTAGAGATCGAAGTATACCAGAACTGGATGACATTTTAGATTCTAAACTCAGTGAAGTGCAGGACCATATGCGAGCACTGATGCAGAAACAGGTCTATGATTACTTCCACCTTCCGTGTCTTTTATGTCCGGTCCTCACTAGAGACGCAAGCACAAGCATAAGTATAAGATTAAGCATATCGCGACCCTATGCATGAGCATGAGAAGCTTATGTCCTAGAGCAAGGACGGCCTTGACCCACGCGCTGGAGTGAGGACGACCTTGACACACGTCAGTATATATGTTGTAGTTAATTTTTTATCTCAGGTAATTTTTCTTTTTCTTTTGTTTTTGGGTATGATAATGTATGCTAATGATGTTTAAACAAAAGAAAAAGAAAAATTACCTGAGATAAAAATTTAACTACAACATATACATAAGAAGACCGAAAGGGTTCGATATTCTTGTGTTCATCCATATGCTTATGTCCCCTCCCCCGTCGTGACTAGCGTAGAAGCTCCTTATGCTCATTATTATCTGGCTTGCGTCACTTGTGAGGACCGGGCTTTACTCATCCTTTACCTCAACCTCTTCCCTAGGGCTAAATGGGAGGGAATAACCCTGGGGACGAGGTTGCCTTTAGTTTACCAGTCATATCAGAAAAGTCCGAAATCTATAAATTTAGATGAAATCTTGAGTCTCTCAGTACTTCCGTACCTGTGTACTCCGTTTGCTTATGATAAGTCTCGTTTTTCTCAGTATTGTCACTTTGTTGTTTATCCCCACTTTTCGACCGTATACTGCTGGTCTTCATCATTCGTCTGATGAAGAAGAGCATTACTCCATGCCGCGTTGCGGTCAATAACGAAATGATTGTTGTGAGGAAAGTTACAAACGAGCCCTATCTTATACATACCACAATAAAAAATATCTTTTATGATGTGTCTTTTCCTTAATAGTTGGAGCATGAAACAGTGGCGCAGGCAAAATTAAAAGGAGGAAAATCGAAAGTGAAATTTGCTGATGACGGTGCAGGAATAAGACCACCCCAGTAAGTAGCAGGGTTGATGAATGACAGCACATGTTATATGTTTAGTATTCTTACCGTAAATCCTCTATAAAGGCCCCCTCTTTAATAAGCACAGCCCCCCTTTTTTCAAGAGAAGAAAGTTATTAAGGCCTTCCCCTTCGCCCTCATTTTTAACAAATAAAATCAATTAACGATAGAGTGAGCGCAATGTTAGGCAAAATGGAATAAGACCCCCCCTTCTTAAATAAGCCAATGATCTCTCTTATTACCCCCCCCCCCACCCCACCCGTGATTGAAATAAACAAGTCTCTCGCTCGAAGGACTAAATAGATGATTATTTTACGGTGTTTGAAGCCGTTATCTCCATCGTCACGGATTGTCCTTCTCTTCGGTAGGCTAAAGAAGCGTTGCTCGACGGGGTTGCCTAGGGAGTTAAGAATATTATCAGGCGTATTTTTGTTACGTTCAATCTGGTCGTTATTTCGATACACCTGATTTTAATTCTGTACTACTCTTTGTGTTTTTCAGACCATGTAACGAGTTTAGTCCATCTCGTCTTTTGCTTTCCCATCTTGGTTTACTGTCCATCGAAGGTCTAATGGTAAAGCAGTACTGCTATTCTGTTTGCGCCTTTTTAAAGGGATTTTGTTAGACGTAATTGGTGTTTTTGTCAATACTATAATAATGTTTTATAAATTATAATTTATAAATTGTAATATAAACCTACAAAGAAGGAGAAAATTCAGGACGAGGTCATTGAACTACAGAAAGCAAATTTAAGTAAGTTTTCAGTTCCCTCTTAAACATCTAAATAGAAATTGAACATCTGGTTTTAGGAAAGCTTGTTTCAAAGTCTTGGAGTTGTCATCAAAAAGCTCTAACACAGTACGTTTTTAGGATAGACTTCCGTTCATCTAACAGTTATTTCGAACCCGAACGCAGTTAGTCTCTGGTTACTCAACATTTCGGTTGGAAAAAGTGACGAAAAACAAGTGCAACCTCGTTCCAAGGGATTATCGTCGTCCTCTCCTGTTTCAAGGGGAAGAAAGACAAACAGCCCTGGGGATAAGGGTGCTGAAAAAGGCAAAGAGCACTGAAGACAGAGGAAGTGCTTTTTATTTCGATCTCTAACCTCGACTGAACTAGAGACCACGTTACAAAACACTAAGAAGATTTCACATCTGGCGCGTCAAGTCCTAGTCGTGCCTTGACATCAGAATGTATTGGGGACCTATCTTTCTCCTGCGTAACCCACTAAGCCCTTTAGAGCAACAATCTTGGACAAAAAGTGTTGTTGAGAATTTTGCACTTTCTTATCCCCAGAACGCTTATCCCGCTATTATGGTACCGCTATGGCCCCTCCCCTCGCCCCACCCTGGTCAAATTTGTTTAGTGGGGATCAGAAATGATCCAGCAGGACTTTAACAATGTTTTTTTGTTTTGTTTTGTTTTGTTTTTTTTTGGTGGGGAGGACCCCCCCCCCCCCCCGGGGGGGGGGGGAAATGGGAAGGGGGAGTATTAATTTGTAGTTACCAGTGCTTTCAAGAGCTTTATCTTGAAACTAGACATGGGGTAGTCCATTTTTCTCAACATTTTTGTTCAAGATTGAACGTTATGTACAGTCTCAGTCAAAATTGTTGGGACACTTAACTGTCTTCTTGCCCTCCCAATGCTGGTGTGCAACATTTGGTGAGTTAACTGCGATGAACAACATTGGGAGGACAAGGAGACGGGCCAGAAGTAAACAAACAGCGCTGGGTGGAAGTGTCCCAACTATTTTTTTCTGAGACTACAGCCTTCTCCCTTGACTTGATGCATTTGTGACATATCTTTCTTTCTTTTGTAGGGTAATCCATTGCGTCCATTCGAGGACGCGAGCCTGCTTGCACTGAATTCCACGTCCAGCGGATTCTCTCAAGCCCTGAAAGAACTTGATCACGTGTCTACGCGAACACAGGATACAGTTTATGTGTTTTACGTGAAAGCGGAACAAACAGACGCACATGAAATCATAGAAAACCAAGTGAGTATAATATCTGTCATATTTACTGGAATGAACGAACCTTATTAGTGATATTCGACGCAAAGTGTCCTCATAAATAGCATTCACCGAAGATTCTGTCAAATATGAAGTTATATGAAAATAACGAACGACCCAGCCTGTCATCGGCGTTCTAATTAAACAACATTTGTCAGTAAGAGAGACTTGCCGGTTAGAAACAAAATAAGGAAAAATGACGGAACATCTTAAAGTGTAGGGAATGCCGTTTACACGAAAAACGTTTGCAAACACTTGACATGGAGTAAATTTGTCGTGCTGTTGTTGGCCTTTATGTTGTATAACTCTTTAACAAACACGAGATAATTTTGGCTCTATTACGACCTTGTCTTCACGTTTTTGTCGGGTCATGGTGAATTGAAGATTAAACTTAAAGTACATTATGTATAAAACACACGCTCACATAATTTTTCAAACATTTCCTTGTATTCCCAACAGATTGGTTCCTGTAAGCACTCCAAGGCATTCCGTGAGTTTCTTCTCTCTTTAGGATGGCTAGTCGATATAGACTCGCACTCGGGCTGGTCAGGGAACATTAAGCAGTGCTGGAGCAGACGCAGTAGTGTATCTACCTTACGCCCTGCGGAGTCCAGCTATTTACAGTCCTCTCATAGCGTGTCAACTCTCACAGGCAGCGAAGAACAGGAGGTGTCTGGTAGCGACAGCGATCGATATGCGTCTTGTCGCGAGAGTTTCGATAGTGAAGCATCGCCGAGCAGCGGGAAGGATTCTCCAGCCGTGAATTCTTCTCCTTCTCTTCCTCCGACTGAAACCAAGCTGGTTGATGAGATTCTTTACTACGCAGATGTAAGCTGTGAGGTGGCGTTTATCATGCCGTCCCTCCTGCCGCGGTATCAGAAGTTTCGGTGCATAGCAGAACAGCTGGAGAGCTTTAAGGAGGAAGTAGAGCCCATGCCGCGAAGAAGGACTCGGTCAGGTAGCACTGGGAGCCTAGAAGGAAGTAGTATTGGGAGCCAATTGGATATCAAAAGCAAGATATCCCGTCAGGCCTCCGAAGGGATGACTATACACGAGGTATATGAGAGCCAGTGATACTTTACCTTACTTATATGAACTACTTGTCATTGTAGAAAGAAGCAATGGGGAGGAAATTAATGCACCATTTGCATTTGCGCCATGGCGTCATTTTACTACTACGACCAGAATCCTTTACGTTTTTCCTTTCATATTTAAATCTGGTAATCCCAGCGAGGTTTACAAAACAAAAGCACTTATTTGCACAAGAAAGCAAAACCCTGGGGGATTCGTGTCGTAGTCGTAAAATGACGCCATCCTGCAAATGGCCTATTATCAGTGTCATTCCATTACATTATATTAAGCGGCAAAAATAATTTATATAAATGAAATTTCCTTCCAAAAAGCGGGGCGAAGTTAAGGACTTGCTCTGTCCATAAAGTAACAGAAGGTTTTGTAAACAGTTTAGCTGATGCTAGTATTATTTTAAAGTTAAAGTCAATTATCCGCGAAACTAACCCGAAACAATCCAGCCAATAGCGATAATTCGCATTAACGTAACATACCAACCACTGGCACTTTTGCTCCTTGGACAAAAAAAAACAAAAAAATCGCACTTTATTATTTTGAGTGTGAATGCATTTAGCATAAAACTATTAATTTAGGACACCACTATGTTTACGTCTCCCAATGGAGACGGGACCGCCATTTAATGTGGCCATCCAAGCCACGTGAAGGTCTGGCCGTCTGCAGGGCAAAGACAGTATCTTTATTGCTCAGTTATTTTATGACACTGAGAGCTTGTCCGGTCCCGGGGATAGAACCCCTAACCTCCCGCCCCGCGGTCAAGCGTTCTACCGACTGAACTAGTCCTGTCGCGGTGAAAGGGTTATTATCGTTTAAGTCAACGCCAAGACGCTCTCTCTGGTTTCAGAACCGTGCCATGTCGCGTCTTGGTAACGAACTCTCACTAGAGAGTCGACCGCTGTCCAGGTTGAGCACGCACAACACCTCGTCCGAGACAAACGTAGTGGTGGCCTGGCTCGAGCGGTTTGAAGATCATGCCCAGTTCCCTGTGGACGAGCTGCTGATGGAATTTNAGACGCTCTCTCTGGTTTCAGAACCGTGCCATGTCACGTCTTGGTAACGAACTCTCACTAGAGAGTCGACCGCTGTCCAGGTTGAGCACGCACAACACCTCGTCCGAGACAAACGTAGTGGTGGCCTGGCTCGAGCGGTTTGAAGATCATGCCCAGTTCCCTGTGGACGAGCTGCTGATGGAATTTGATCACGGTCAGAATGTGGGACACAGCTTGCGTGAGAAAGACACCGTGGTTATTTTTATACATCACCTGAGAAGTGGGCTATACCGCATCCATATCAGGTCCACAATCAGGTACATCAGTCTTATGTCTTTTTTACTTTTACTTTGTAAGTTTTTTCTTAAGGACGACAGCCTTGCAAAATACCGTGATATTATTCATAAAGCCTACGTTATTCAATCATGTTTGTTAACTTTGTGTGTTTTTGCCAGCCCGCCTCAAGCTAAAGATAACTGGTCATTTTTTTAGGTCCCCTATCGGTGGGCCCTTGGTGGACGGTATGGTAGTGAGCCGCAGGACACTGGGCACCATGGTACGGCAGACCGCTATTAATATATGCCGTAGGCGCAGACTGGAAATTGACTCGTAAGTGATGTTTCTTTTGAGAGTGTTAAAGTTGCCTTACGCTATCTAAGTTGGAACTTTGTTTGCTGTGTTCTGTAGCTTCTTTGAAACCTTCTTTAAGGAAAAAGGGAGAAAATACTTTTTATTCACACCCACAAAGTGGGTGATTCCCACTCTCGCTTGGTTCTAATTTTCTTTACTAACAACTTGTTCAGGGAGTGGAGATAATGCCATGGAAGTGAAAATATTGCGGTTGTCGGGCGTCGTCTCCTTGTGCCTCTTATCTTATTACTAGCTTATAATTCGTTAAGATACCAGAGCAAATCACGACAACTAGTGCACGGTATGCGGTAAGAGGTTTGGAAACTGAAGACAACCTCGTTAACGTGAAGCGTTCGATTTTTTTTCATCTTTTCATTTTTAATCATGAAAACTGCTAAGTCGTACTCTCGAAAGAGTGTGCTATCCGTTATCCACTCAGATACCTCGAAGATAGTTTTGAAATTTCGTCTGTGCGTCATTTTTTATACTGCTACTTGAAGGTGCGTTAATAGCGATTGAAGACCAGTGAAACACTCCTTCTCGTGTTAAATAAATTAAAAACTAAAAGTGAATCACGATCATTTCCCCGCGCATTTCATTTTTCCCGCGCTTAGTAGCGGTTAAACCTTTTTCGCGCACATCGCAATGGGGCATCTTTTCCCTCACCAGCGCTGATGGCGAAACGACCCCTTTTGACCTTTTGTTTTAACGCTTACAGGTATTCCCCGCCTCAAGTTTGTCGTAAACTGAAGATTCAAGATATCGTCAAGAAATATCGCCATGAGCGATCTGTTCCTGATTTTTACGTATCGCTCTTTTCCAATGATGCGAAGTAAATTGCAGACATGTCTTTAAAGTTGAAACTTTAAAAATTCTCAATTTTAAGTCATAAATACAAATTAAGCTACATGGAAAGACTTCACTTGTACACTAAGGTACTTGTACAAAATATAAAGAGTACCACATAAAAGGTGCCGATCAATAACTTTCATTAGTTTGAAGTGCATCTCAAATCTCAAATTTTAAACGTTACCAAAGTGATTTGGTTGCAACTTTACTCTAGGAATTAAGGTTTATATGAGTTATACTACTATACAGACTGTTTATTATCGGTGGAAAGTACGTTGCTTAATTAACAAATATAGATGCCTTGACTATGTTCTGATCATGAAAAGAAGAACACGAAGACGAAAGAAGTGTATGGGAAAACAAAAGACGTATTCGAGTGTTTCTTTCTACTTCTTGAGTGCTGTAGCTGCTTCTTATGTGCTTTAGATCAGAACAAGGTCAAGGCTTTTTTTCTTTCTTAAGGATTCCTTTAAATTTCCCACGCATTGCTTTCTAATGTTCTAAACAAACTATTGGCAGATGGAGTGACAGCCGAGCTTGAGCTCGTGCTCCGTGTTTTATACCGGCTCCTGTAAAGCACGCTTTTTCAACCAACCAGTCTGCGCTTTATCTGAATTTTATGATAATAGTAAATGCAGTGATAACTCCTATTACACAGCAGAAAAAAGGTAAGCAGTTTTGAGTCAATTTTTTTTGGTTTCCACAATTGCTTGTTTAAAAAATGTTTTATTAATCCTTGGCCATTTCCTAGCCTGGTTGCTACACAAATTAGTTGACAATTATTAAAACCAGCTTGAACATTCAATCCCCATGCACGCTGCCCAAGTATGGTGTTCTCTGAGTGTTAATATGGACACACCCATTTAAGCACCCACGCCAAAATTCGGACGCGGTACCGGTGTGTGCACACGTTTTCTGTGTATTTGTTTGGACAGGTGCACTCCCTGCTACGCTTCCGACAAGGCGAAATTGATCGAGTGCGTTCACAGTTACATACCGGGTACTCAAGGTGTGAACACATTTGTGCCACGATTCAGGCAATAGTGCTTGGACTCCAAGTGTGCTCGAAAATGAGGTTGACGATACCTTGTCGTTGTTTAACAACAACAACAACAACAACAATAACAACAAAAAACAAAAAAAACTCGTCTGCTGCATCCAAGATGCAAAACAAATAATTAAAAGATTGACTTGATTAGTTTTAAGTTCGAAAAAACAAGATATATCACCCGGGACACAGTGGCCCCAGGTCCCTTAAATAACGCTTACTTTAAATTGCAACTGAGTATACTAACTCATTATAGTCCTTTCACTCTCCTTGTTACTGCTATTTATACCAAATGTTTCTCTCTATTCCCAATATGTGTAAAACAAAATTAAGTAGAATTGATAATGGTAATGGGACTGAGTGGAGTCCAATTCAGTCTGTAATCATACGAGTGATTAACAAAATTTGACGACACTAAGTCCTGTTAGCAATTAATCATAACCGTTAAAATTTCCGAGAAAATGAATGCCTTGTTTTTTGGTGAAAGAACATTTGAATACCAAATGTTCAAAATTAGGTAAAATCTCACTGCCGGAGACACTGTCTAGTGTCACAAATTCGTCCATTTTGGAAAATCCCCAGTTTGGTGGGGTAAGTTTGGTTGTTGCTATGGTTATTGTGATAACTTCTGTGATTGGTGGATTTATTTGGCTAATTTAACTGCCCGATTGCAGGTGTCCGATTACAACCCTACAGAATGATTAGGGAAACAAGATAAAGCCGTTAATGCACCAATCAAATTTGAGGAAATTGTAATGGGTATGACTAAGGACAGTACAGTCCACAGTTGTAATTTGACCTTTTAAGTATCTAACTGAAATAAGACCAGCGACAATACGTTTAGCCGGGCGGGTAATGCTGTGGCGCATTTTTGCATCGCCTGCGTGAGAGAGAGAGAGTCAGCTGATATCTAAGACGGTCATCGGTACAAATGTGTGGGTTAACGGGTTAAAACATATCGTCTGCCACCTCAAATAGTGGACCTGAAGAGGGTTGGATGCGCGAGAGATTTTTAATTGGGAGAAAGGAAGGCGGGAACCGCTATGACTCGAAGGGGAATATAGGAAGGGGAGTACTTTATTCGGGTAGACCACTGCAGCTTACCTATTCCGTCTTCTGAAGTCTCGGAACGGTCGACAAATTGTCACGTATTTGAACTGGCGTATAAACATCTTCAACGTGCCTGTAACGAGATACTGTTCGCGAGACTGTCACTGTTCGTGAGACCGTCCTTTGTAATTCCTGCATTACTGAAATGAGGTCCAGTGTATCTAAGCGTTTGTTCAGAAGCTGCAGCAATGTGGTTAACACTCCTTTTTCAGACAAATGCACTTCAAGAGTTTCGCTTGAAATGTTTCCTTTCCCCATAGGTGGCATATTATTTGTTATCACTACCTTCGTGTCTGGAATAAGTGCCAGTTTTTCACTCAAGCATCTCTTTATGTTGATAATCATCTGTTGTAGAACTGCACCACTCGTTTGCTCCAGTCTCAGGCCATTCTGAATAAGGACGACAAAAAGGGTCGACGCCTTTCCTACAAAAACCAAAAAGACACTTTTTTCAAGTCCATTTTCATTCATCTTTTATAACAGCCATAAATAAAGTTAGGCCGCGCTGAGAATTCTAATTGCCAACGAGCAATCCGAGCGAAGATGGCGAGGCGGCAGCAGAATAGAGCCGCGCAAGAGTGGTTTGTAATAGGCAGAAAAATTCTCGATTGAGCTGAAAAAAGTGTAACCCGTAATTCGTAACCCGTAACCCGATGTAATGTAGATCCCCCTGAGAGTGAACCAATCAAAAGGCAGTACCTGGCGCACGGGCCACACGGGCTAAAGTTGAATGTGGTACGCTTTTTAAAATACAACATTTCACACAATTCCCGCCGTCGCGACTTTCTGTGTTTATTTACCTAAATTTATTTGTCAAACCTGGCCACTGCAGTCAAGAAACATGAGCACTTGATGCATTGTATTAATTTTAGGGGCCATAATGTAAAGTTCTAAAAAGTTTGTAAAAGAGCAAAAGTGTTCCATGTTCTCACCACTAAAAAGGATCATATTACACTAGGAGCTTGATATGAAGAATACAGTCGCTTCCGTTGGAAAATCTGGTTTTGAGGAAAAAATCTAACCAGCAAACCAAAAAAATGAGAATAAAAAGAAGTACAAGCCTAAAGCGAATGACAAAGAAAAAGAAAACGCCATTTTTTTCGAAACCTGGCCGAGTTTATGAAAAAATGTAAAAAATACCAACGTGCGTACATCACATGTCCTAGGAAACGTTTCAACTAGCGCAGCGAATCATTCTACGTTTCTATCGGGTAACAAAAAGCCTCGGGAAATTTGAAAGGAGGTTTCAATGATTAAACTGTGCAAGTATTTATATACAATGTGAAACCGAACGGGCAGTAGATTTGTAGCTGGACTTAATAATATTACCGATCGCTTCCTCTGCAAAGCTGAATTTATTCTGTCAAGATCCCTCATGACACTTCACACCTTTACAAAGCAGGTTCGTAAAGCCACCAGACTGAATCTGAGAACTGACTCTACTCCGGAACCTCATAAAGTGTTACACGCATAACACCTTTTCAAGAAAATAATCCTTGCGACAGGAAGGGACCAAGAAACGGTCAAATGGGGTAAAAAGAATTTTATTCCCATACAAAATACGCATGATTTGCTCGTTGGCACTCTATCGATAGGTATACCTAGTCAGTTTTGGATATTATTTCTTGCCAATTTTAAGTGTACCAGGGTGCCGAAGGTTCAGCTTTGACCTATTAGAGAGGGTCAATTTGAGAATTTCTCAGAATAGAAAATAAGCAGATAAAAACAGTCCCGAACGATTGCTATGGTTAAAACTGGCATAAAACTACTTATTTTTTGTGTAGAAGTAATAAAGGGTGAACGGAAAAAAAGGGGGGAAATTGGTCACGTGGAACAAATTCCCTTCTACCGTTTGGCGTAAACGTGAATCTTAATCTCTCTATAGTAACTGTTCTAACTTTTGTTCAACCAATATCGAACAGTGTGTGGATGGATGCTTAAACAGGACTTAAAATAGTTTGGAACGTTGCTGAATAGATGTTACATGGGGTATAATATCGAACCTTTATCATTTGGGTGTAGTTCTATCCATTTGTCGATGACGCTTAAAACAGCCATTTCAAATTTCTCACTCTCTTTTTTCATTTCTTCCTCTTTCTCCTTTATCTGCTTCTCGATTAATGGCTTTCTTTCGGTTTTCCATTGTTCTCTTTTTTCTGTCAGCTGTTTTAGTTCATTTCTCATGCCAGGCTCCTCATTGGAAAACAAAGTTAATAGTTGCTCATCCTTCTCGGCGTTAAAACGTCCCATCGGTTGGAGCCTCCTGCTTATTTCAACTTCTTGTTCCACGTAAAACTCATGCGGAAGTCTACGTGTATACTGTAATCCTCCCAACTCTTCTCTTGTTTTTAATTTGATCCAACTACCTGGGATCTTGTTGGTCAGAAGGTATTTCAACTGTGTTTCCCTTGTCTGTGCCCTGCTGTCACCACTCTCTTCTTTTCTCATGCTTCTCTTTAGGCCATTAAGATCTGCTAACAAGTCCTCAAAAGAATCAGTCTTCAATGTGGTTACCTCGTTCCGTGAATTCTGAGCTTTAAAAAAATGATCCAGCTGTTTCTACATCATTGTCTACGGAACTTTCACAGGCTTCACAGACGTCGACTATTAAAACCTTTGCTTTACTGTACACCTTTGTTGGGCGGTTACTGACACTCGATAACTTTTCAATTTCTTTTAGCGGAAGAGCAGGGCGAAGTGTCCGTGGTTTTGTTGCTTTCTCTAAGAATTCCGCAAAGTCATACAGTTTAAGCGCCTCAAAAACTTCCTTTAGCAGTTTGACTGGAGTATCGGGAAAAATTTTTCCAATGTTCCCCCGGTCGAGTTCGTCGTGCAGTAAATCAGGATCAAGCCCAAATGAACGGTAAAATCGGTTTAGAACATCTTTGTCCCTATTAAGCTTGGACGTTAGTTCCTGAGTCAATTCCATACTTAGATCTTTCAAGCACAGCTTAGAGGTGGAATCTGCAAATACTAGGCGAAAACAAAATCTGAAATTAACAAATGTTGACTTAAAATAAATAGCATATTATTAAAATTGCTATCGATTGAAACGGAACGGACAATGAAATTAGTATGAATTAATTTCAGGAGTTTGAATCCAGGGGACTGTGAGAAAAAATTGAAGAGACAGATAAAGTGTATATATTTCGTTTTCTAAACAGGAACTTGAAGGCTTAGGCGTAACCCGGGTTACTTTTCCGCATGGCCGAGCCACTCAGCG